CTGCAGGAGAATCTGTGGGCTGCACTCGAGTGAAATAAGCCTGATGGTAGAATTCTGAGACAGACCGTCTCCGATATGTTCGTGGCCTTTTAGACTAAACTTCTGTTTTGGTTTAAATGGAGAGGTGATACCCCGGTGGGTGACGCTGCCGTCCAGAGGGACTTTGACAGGCTGGAGAAATGGGCTGACGGGAACCTCAAGCAGTTCAAAGAGAGGAAATGCAAAGTCCTGCACCTGGGGAGGAACATCCCCACGCACCAGTATGTGCTGGGGGCTGCCCAGCTGGAAAGAGGCTTGGCAGAAAAGACCCTGAGAGCCTGCTGGGCACCAAGCTGACCGTGAGCCAGCAGTGGCCCCTGTGCAGAGAAGGCTGGTGGTGTCCTGGGCTGCACGAGGAGGAGCTTTGCCAGGGAGTGGAGGGAGGTGAGGGATTTTTACTCTCTGGAGCCCCCGGGTGCAGTGCAAAAGGCTGTCCCGCTGTTTACTTTGCAATGATGACAAGCACCAAAAAGCAAATGCAACCAAACTGCTGCAGACAAGCTGTCCCACTTGGAACTGGACCTGTGCTAGCGGTGAATGCTGGCAGAGTGGTCAGGCTGGCTGGCTGCAGCAGCCTCCTGCCATACTGGCTTTGGCGTTGACAACATTTTCTTCAACATGTTGGTTGTGCTTAGTGCAGGCCTCTGACTTACACCTCCTGCCTCTCACACTCCCTGTTTTTGTGCTGGCAGAAGATACTGAATATATTCTCAACCCGAGTGCTTGTGACTGGACGTACAGCGGATTCCAGTGCGCAGCTTTAGAGCATAAACTTTCTTACAGTGGCTTTTTCAGTAACACAGAGAACTTGCAGAACATAGTAACTTGAAGTGGTTTATACTCCATACACATGGAAATAATATCTCTTCTATAGCCACCTATTTAACCTTGGCAATCACTTCAGCTTTCACGTTTTCCCACCAGAATTTCTACACTGACATACTGAGGTATGAACTCTTTGTTGACTGATAGTAAATGAAGTTTTTTTCTGGTTTTATTGTAGAGCATATAGTTACCTAACTCTCCACTTCCACAAAAAAGGCATTGAAAACCATGCTTTTTTGGCCAGAGTGAAAATGAAGAACCATACTGTTCGTAGTTTCTGCAGCATGCGTTTCCTGAACGGTTTATTTCTGTCAGGAATGCTGTCTTTAAAATACTTCAGGGTTCCGTAGTTGTGCTGTAAATGACTTAGACCCAGGCCCACGAGTCTCAGACTTGCGAGCAGGTGACTTCAGAGCAGAACAGATTCTTTCTGTTGACTTCGGATAGGAAAAAAAGAGAGTTATCTGATGATCTTGTCTTCACCTTCTTGTTTCTGATGTGCTGCTTGTGGCTTCGCCTTTGAATGGTTTCTGTTCAGCTTTTCAAACTGCTTAAATACTAACTTGCAGCTTTCCTGTAGGTAACTGCTGTAGAGCCCTGAAACAAAAAGGGCCCAAACAATCGGCCTCAAACCAAAGTTGACTTCTGAGTGAATCCCCCGACCAGCAACCAGCAGCATGAAGCAACCAGCATCTCATCAGCATGAAATGCAACCCTGGGACCAACCCCTGAAAACGGTAAGTAAACAACAGGAGGGAACTACAAATTTTAAATGTAAATTAAACCAGGAACTCCTCGGATGTGCCCGGATCCTGGCCAGATCTGGACGTGCCTGAATGAGGCAACTCAATCTACCAGATGTCCCCTGTGCATTTTCTCATACGGATTTCTTTATTAAACTGTATAAAAGCCAGACCCTCTCCCAGCACAGACGCAGACCTCACCTACGAGCGGACGCCCTGCGTGGGACTGCCCAATTTCTGGGAAAGGCTCTCGGATCCTTCGCTGTGATGGGGCTCCCCAGCTGATGCACAAGTCTGGCTGATGGTAAAGTAGGAGGGCAATCGGTGATGGATCTTTCTTAATCACTATAGCCAGCTTTATGTAGCAATGACTAGGTGCGTTACCTTGCTTATTCTTTCTGCTGCTTTAAACTAAAGTAAAATAAGCCCATTTGTTTAGCTTGGTGCCTCTGTCCTTTGTGGTAACCCCGTCCATTGGCAAAACAGCCTCCTATCAGATCGTGGACCTCAATTAATTTTAGCATAATTCTTAGTAGTTCAGTTTCTGCTAATTACAGCTGTGACTTTGCAGGATGGGCTGGGCTGATGTTACAGCTCAGCGGTGCCCGAGCGGGGCGATTCCCCACCCTGCTCCTGGCTGCCTTGCCCTTTACCTTGTGTTAGCTCTGGCGCTCAGCAGGATGCCTGGCCCGGTGCAGTTAGCTAACCTGGCAGAAAACTAACCCAAAAAAAGGGAGGCAGGTGGGTTTCTGCTGGCCTGGGGGGTTCAATCAGCTCCTGGGGGAGTCGTGGAGGTTCGAGAGGCTGAAGGGGAGGACTGTAGGTCTTGGGAGGAAAGGAGGTTGGGAAGCTGTTGGGGTGTGTTTCCTGAAGAGCAGAGCTAATCGGGGTCAGGTAGCCTGTCTGTGCCCTGGGAAAAACTCATCTCATGAAGTAACGGCTCGCTTAGAGATCACTCGCCTGCGTTTTGTTCAGCAATTCACATGGGGAGGAACCAAAACCAGAAGTGCCCTCTTGTTACTCTCTTAGACTTTTTGGGCCTAGTTTTTGTTGCAGCACTATACACTTTGTATTACCAGCTTCCATCTGAAGGACAAATACAAAATTTGTCCATTTTTTGGGGGGGGATTTTGCAGCCTCCTCCAGCCATCTGCCCCACTGCTGCTTCTGTAAGGGAAAGTTTTCACCCTGTCCTCCTTTCTTGCATTTGATGCCCGCCGTCCCTCTGTGCCCCTTGGATTCAGGGCAGGTGTTTATTCCTTTCCCCCCTGCAGAGCTCTCCCCGTTTCCCTCCTGCGGGCAAACCCACCGCAGCTGAACGTGCCCCCCGTTAGCTGGGGGGGGGGCTGGCTGGAGGCGCTGGGCCAGAGCTGATGGGAGCAGAGGGGAATGACTCTCTCCAGTGCACTCCAGACTAAAAAAAAAAAAAAACCAAAAAAAACCCAACAAAAACAATGGTAAAAAACCAAGAAGTCCAATTGTTACCATAAAGCGATAATTAATTAATTCTCTAAAACTCAATTTTGGAGTTTCAGAAAGCAGGCATTCTTTATTGCAGCGCCGGACACACGGGGGAGAGCTCCTCCTCGTGTGTGTGTGTTTGAAGACAAAATCAGCAAGCATTTATGCTACTTTAGTCGTACGTATTAATTACATTTTAATCATATTTTAATCATAACTTTTCCAGCAACTCTTTAGCATACATTAATGTGTCTTGAGCATGCCTGTTGGAGTCTTCAGGTGGCTGTCGGAGGTTTTTTAGATGAAGGCTCGTAGTCTTCTTCACTGTGTCGGCCAGCTGACCCTTACTGCTGCGCAAACTCAGCCCCGGGGTCACGTAGATTTTCCCTTCCAGGCCGGCCTGCTCTGGTTTTGGTGCTAATTTGCAGCTTCATTATCTTTGTCCTTGCACCTGCTGCTGCAAGGCCAAACGGTCTCAAGTAAGATTATTTACGAATTCCTTATCCTACAGTGACTCTAATTATTCCTCAAAAGCTCAGTGTTTGCTCTGCAGCACGATTGGTTAAAACGGCTTAAATTGAGCTTAATAATTCTATTCCACACGTAGCTCTTTTTCTAATAATCTTAGTTCACAGGTATCAAAACGGCTCGGGAGACCTCATTCTAGGAGGTCATTTTTGTTACCTTGGCACGTGCGACCTCCTCCCGAGGCGCTGGGAATAGCTCGCCCAGCAGTCTGCCTGCCCTTGTGCCTTGGGATGGGCTGCCAGCCCCCCTTGCGCCTCGCGTGGGTGGGTGGGTGGGTGGGTGGGCGACAGACGGGCTTAATGTGCAAATAAATCAGGCGGAGGGGTTGTTCGGCTGAGCAGCTACACGTCTTCCCTGTTACCCTCGGGTGTCAGGCAGTGCTACTCACACACACACACCCCCCCACCCCGGGTCTTGCCCAGCTTGTGCAGAGATGTTTCTGCTCCAAGTGCCTCGGGGCTGCCCGTAGCTCCTGGAAACCTCCCGTGTGGCTCCTCTCAGCCACCCAAGTGCCCCCTGGCAGCTGTCTTCACCTGCCAGCAGGAAGGAGGGAGGGAAGGAGGAAGAGAGAGAGGAGGAGGGAAGGAGGAAGAGGAGGAGGGAAGGAGGAAGAGAGAGAGGAGGAGGAGGAGGGAAGGAGGAAGAGAGAGAGGAGGAGGGAAGGAGGAAGAGGAGGAGGGAAGGAGGAAGAGAGAGAGGAGGAGGAGGAGGGAAGGAGGAAGAGAGAGAGGAGGAGGAGGAGGGTAGGAGGAAGAGAGAGAGGAGGAGGGAAGGAGGAAGAGGAAAAGGAGGAGGGAAGGAGGAAGGGAGAGAGGAGGAGGAGGAGGGAAGGAGGAAGAGAGAGAGGAGGAGGGAAGGAGGAAGAGGAGGAGGGAAGGAGGAAGAGAGAGAGGAGGAGGAGGAGGGAAGGAGGAAGAGAGAGAGGAGGAGGGAAGGAGGAAGAGGAGGAGGGAAGGAGGAAGAGAGAGAGGAGGAGGAGGAGGGAAGGAGGAAGAGAGAGAGGAGGAGGGAAGGAGGAAGAGGAAAAGGAGGAGGGAAGGAGGAAGGGAGAGAGGAGGAGGAGGAGGGAAGGAGGAAGAGAGAGAGGAGGAGGAGGAGGGAAGGAGGAAGAGAAGGAGGGAAGGAGGAAGAGAGAGAGAAGGAGGGAAGGAGGAAGGGAGAGAGGAGGAGGGAAGGAGGAAGGGAGAGAGGAGGAGGGAAGGAGGAAGAGGAGGAGGGAAGGAGGAAGAGGAGGAGGGAAGGAGGAAGAGAGAGAGGAGGAGGGAAGGAGGAAGAGAGAGAGGAGGAGGGAAGGAGGAAGAGAGAGAGGAGGAGGGAAGGAGGAAGAGAGAGGGAAGGAGGAAGAGGAGGAGGAGGAGGGAAGGAGGAAGAGGAGGAGGGAAGGAGGAAGAGGAGGAGGGAAGGAGGAAGAGGAGGAGGGAAGGAGGAAGAGGAGGAGGGAAGGAGGAAGAGGAGGAGGGAAGGCTGCGTTTAGCAGCCACCTCCGGCAGCTAGAGCGAAAGCAGCTGACGGTCCCGGGGGGGAGAGGCTTGCGATGCCCTCAGCAGCTCCCACCGCCTCCCTGCCCAGCGGCCTGCCCGAGTGCCGGCTTTGCCCTGAGCAGCGGGAGGTCGGAGGCTGCTCGTGAGGGGCATCAAATCCTGGGGGGGGGTTCAGGAGCCACCAGGGTCTGGGGGCAGCCCGGGGAGCCTAGCACACCCTCACAGTTAACCACATGCCCCCCAGCTGAGGCTCTGAAGCTCTCTCCTTAAAACTGCAGGGGATTTTTGTGGTGCCTCTGACAACCTTTTGCAATTTCCTGCCTAACAAAGCTGAAGGAAGGGGGGGTGCTGGTGGGATTGAACCAGGGTGCTAAACTGAGCCACTTAATTCATTGGGAAGATGATTTTAGCAGCTGATACAGACAGAGGATAAACTGCTTGCTTAAACCAGGGAGTAGAGACTACCTGAGGTAATTTTTTTGCAGCAGCAAAGAGCCTAGGCTGCTGAATCTGTACCTGGGGGTGTGGGCAGCAGTGGGTGAGTAAAGGGTGGGCAAACACCTTGTAAATTCTCCCCATATTGTGATTTCATTGAGCAGGAGGAGATTGTAATCTTAATGGCAAAATATGGAAAGTTTCAACTAGAACCTTTTTTCCTGCGCCCTCCGCCGCCACCCATGAACCCTGCTCCTCTCACCACAGTTTGAGAGGCTTTTTCCAAAGCCTGGGCACTTTCATCCAGCAGCGAGGGCTTTGGCTGAGTGTTGTGGGATGGCGTTCAGATGATTTGATGCTAAAAAACTTCAGCTTTGCCACCAGGGACCAGAGCCTTTCCTGTCACCCAATTCACTCCACGCTCCCGGGATTTACAGCGTTCGCTCCATTCTCCTGGTGATACGAGGTGGGTTAAAGCAGGAATTACTGATGTGCGGGGAAAGGCTTTGCGCTTTGCTCCGGCTCCTCCAAGTATGTTCTGGGGTCTTGGTCTCTGCGCCCGGGGCCCTGAGAGCGAGCGCCAGGTTTCCTGCAGCTGCACGGAGGAAGGTGCAAAGTCCCCGTGGAGGTTTTGGCAGGACACCTGCCCCCCCCCCCCCCAGCCCCTGGGTTGTGGTAGTGAACGTGCCGGTGACCTCGGCGGGTTTAAAGTGCAAGCTGTGCCTTAAACCGTTTGTAATCCCCGTCTCCAGGGCGTCTGGCAACACGGTAATGAGACAAAAATAAGCACCCTGGTCCTTTGGGTTGGGTGAAATCTGGGAATGGGGATCCTGAAGGCTCCGGCAGCACCCGGGGAAGAGGAACGCTGCGTGGCTGGGTCTCTCCATCTCTGGAGGCGAAGGACTCCAGGTTGTGCAGCTGTATTATCCCGACTGTGTACAAAGGAGGCGGCTGCCTGGAATCGCAGCACTCGGGATAAAGAGTTCCTTGGTCCTTAGTGGAACCTGAGGTTGCCTGCAGTGGGTTCGTAGGGTGACTGCAAACAAACAAATAGACCCAAAAAAAAAAAAACAAAACCCCAAAAAAAACCAAAAAAAAAAACCCCCGGCATTTCAAATGCGAAGGGAGTTGTGAAAAATGCCAGGAGGTGCTGCCTGCAGCTCAGCTGATCCTGCCACGCTGGGTGTGAAGCCTCCCTGTTCACCGAAACCAGCGTTAAAAAAACCTCCCTGAACCACCTTCCTGAGCACACCGGTGTGGGGAGGGCGCGAATGGCAGCGACGCCAGGAGGCAAGACTTTTTTTTTGGGGGGGGGGTGTGTGTGTGTGTGTGTGTGTCAAAGTCAGAGGCAGACGTTCCCAGCTAAATACCCGATGTCAGGGGAAGGCCAGGAAGAACTCGAAGGCAGCCCTGGGCTAGTGCCGGAGGCGTGCACGGCTTTTGGCTCTGCTCTGGACCGACCCCCTCACCCCGTGCTCGCCCCCTCTCCCCTTTCCACTCGCAGATCTTCGGAGGCCTCGTCTGGAGCCCGGTGGCCTTCCCCGAGGGTCCCCTTACCCATCCTGCAAGGCTGGCTGACGTTTTGTCTCTGTGTCCACCACCCTCCTGGGCCCCTACATCTGCGGGGCGCGCGGGGGCAGCGGCTCCTGCCTCACCTTGGTAAGTGGAGGGGACAAACCCCAGCGCCTCTCCCCGCTATCAACAATCGTTCCCTTTGCTGTTCCTGCACTCCAAATTGCAGGCCGGGGCTTGCTTGTGTGGGTTCCCTTTTTTTTTTTTTTTTTTTTTTTTTTCCCTCCCTTCTTTGCAGTGTGTTCCCTCCTTGGAAATGACGGTGTGATCCTTGTTTCTTAGGATGTCATCTGCCAGGAAACAGCGGCTCAGTTCTACCTCCGCGCTGCCGTGTTGGAAGCCTCCTTCGCCTACGGCGCTCGCTCATCTACCCGCCCTCCGATAATCTACCAGGAGAACACCGGGGAAGGAACGTGGGGAGGTGACTGTGGAGTGGCCTCAAGGGCCAATCTTTACTCACGCCAGCAATGGGAGGGGGAATGACACTGGTCCCACTCCCACCTCGCACCGATGCCTCCAAACACGCGGGAGTCACCAGCAATATAACAAATCACAAGGTATTTGCTCAGCGCAGGGACTCATACCGTAGGATAACAGCTTAACTGCCTGATGTGTTGTTCCACGGTAGGTAACTGCCTTCTCAGCTGCCCTGATGTACGTGGTCCCTAAGGTGATCTCACTCCTCCGATGGAAATCATCCGACAAGCCTCCCCTCTCAAACGTGGGGTTCACCCCGCGAACACGGACGTTGCTCGACGACTGCGGTTTCCAGGCTGGGGTTGGGGTTTTGGTTTTTAATGCACGTTCTATAAAGAAGCAGCTTTTCACGTGGGGCCGTGGCAACGAAGACAAAGAGCCTGCCGGAGGAAGCTGCATCCTGGCACAACCGCTTTCCCTTCAGTCTCTTCTGGGTTGGGTGCGGTTTGATGCTGGTAATTTGGGCCCAAATAGTGAAACTTCCAGCTTTAAAAAGAATGATGGAGTTGGGTTCGAAGCAGTAAAACTCTCCCTGAACTTTACTGCTACTGGGGGAAGCCAGAACAACCAGCACTCAGGAGCATGAATATGAAACTGGGGCATTTTAATTACCACCCACCCCTGGGTTCCCTCCCTACACCTGCTGTGCCAAAAGAACATTTTCATGCAGTTGCTGGCAATGCCGTCCCTGGCTTGTGAGGGGAAACGGGGGACAATATTTAACTTGCACCAGGGGCAAGGTGAGTTACTGCGACCCACCCCCCCCCCCGGAGAGTGTTGCTGAATTATGAGGCACGAGCGTAACGGCAGGAATTCCTGCTGCCTCTAACCTCCCTACAAAACACAACTCGGAGGGCGCGCAGTAGACTGTAGAATTTTAGGGATGTAGCCAGCGGATAAACCACCAGCTCGGGTTAATCTTAGTGATGATGTTCACCTTATGTTACTCCAGAGCGTGGAGCGTGCTGGTGTTGGCGGGGATAGAGTTGGTTTCCTTCAGGGTAGCTAGTGTGGGGGCTACGTTTTTGGATTCGTGCTGGAAATCGTGTTGATAACACGGGGATGGTTTAGCTATTGCTGAGCAGGGCTTGCGCAGAGCCAAGGCCTTTCCTGCTCCTCACCCCACCAGCGAGTGGCTGGGGGGCACGAGGAGCTGGGGGGGGGACACAGCTGAGCCCAACTGACCCCAGGGACATCCCAGACCATGTGGTGTCATGCTCAGCAAGAAAACTGGGGGGGAGAAGAAGGAAAAGGGGGGGACGTTTGGAGCGATGGTGGTTGTATTCCCGAGCCACTGCGGTGTGTGATGGAGCCTGGCTGTCCTGGGGATGGCCGAGCACCCGCCTGCCCCTGGGAAAGGGGGAGTGAATTCCTTGGCTTGTTTTTGTTTTGCTTGCAGGCGCGGATTTTGCTTTACCTATTAAACTGTCTTTATCTCAACCCACGAGTTTTCTCACTTTTACCTTTCTGATTCTCTCCCCCATCCCGGCGCGGGGGGGAGTGAGCGAGCGGCTGCGTGGGGCTGAGCTGCCAACTGGGGTTAAACCACAACAGTGAGTTAATTTAAATGGGATTTAGCCCCAGGAAGGGGTGTTTTCATGTGTTAGGGGTGCCTAATAAACAGCAGTACCAAATTAGCCCTTCCAGCTCATGGAGCAAAAAGTGCTTCCTTTTTGGGTCTGAAGTTCCTAGACAATAACAAGGACTGGAAAAGGGAAGGGAAATAAAAGTCATCTTGGGGAGATACAAGTCATCTTGGCAGCACCTCTGTTGCTTCAGATCCCAGGGGGGACTTTTGGGCTCTGGCCGTAGGTTTGGGTTGAAGCTTTTTAATGGCAATGAGGAAAATATTTGATTTTTTTTTTTTTTTTCTCCTTGTTTTTTCCTTCCTGAAAACCAGCCTGACCCGTCTTGCTTAGCGTTAGTGTGACAACAGCGAGCTGACCGCAAAAAGAAAACCCTTCTCAGAGCAGGAAGGGAACTCACAGCGCCACGTCGGACTGGCACTCGGTTCTGAAGGTTTAACACACACGTGGTGAAACTGGTTTCAGCATCACATCAATGTGTGTGTGTGTGTGTGTGTATGGGGTTGGTGCCCAGATTTACCCTCTTGTTAAGCTCAGCACTAAAGCACAAAGACACCTTTTTGTTGGGGTCTGTTCACAAAGGCCCTGGGGATGCGATAGCTCTGCCTGTCCCCTCACCTCCCTGTCCCTGGGCCTTGTGGCCATCGCATTTGCAGCCCAGGCCTTGGCAGGACTCCCTTCTCTCCTCCCCGCTTCCTTCTGCCTTGCTTTGCCCTTTGCTTCTCCCTTCCCTGCCACAGCACCAGTTTGCACCAGGACGCGCCCGTTCACCTGGTTTGCTGAGAGACCTTCCCCCTCCCAGCATTAGCATAACCCCCTTGTAAACCAGCACTGAAAAAAAACACATCTAGGTTTTTTTTTTTATCAGCCACGCAGCTGGGGAGGGGGCTGAGGCTGTGGACATGGAATTGGGAGGGCGACTGCGTCGACCCGGTGTAACCTGGGCCAAATCTTTCCCTGGGGAGGGCTGGCTAGAGGAAAAGGCCACCACAGGGTCAAGAGCATCCAAACCAACCGATCCCAAGCAGTGCTGCAACTCTGAAACCCTCCCAGCCCAGCCCCAACTTCAATCCCACTCAGCTGAAGAGTTTGCAGGTGAACGAGCCTCCCAGGAGTTGCAGCAACATGCATGTTCCCTGCCTGGTGGGAAGAAGAGGAAAAAAAAAGGAAAAGAAAACTAAAAAAAGCAGCCTGAGGTCTCCATTGCCCATCACGCCCAGCCCTCGTATCGTCTCAGCACAGCCAGGAAGACCCTGGAAGCTGGGCAGCCCAGAGGAGCTGACTGGAAAACGGCACCTCTGTGTTTCTGAAGGGAAAGATGCTGCCCAGAGCTCAGAGAATCCCCCAGGACCTACAAACCATCTACCTCCAGGTCTCGTCCCCACAGAGAGCCCCGAGGAGAGCGTTGGGGCACGGAGACCTTGCTCAGACACTTCCAGACCCAGCCCAGACCCCCACACCAGCATCCTCCTCCCACCTTTTCCTTCAACCCCCTCCCCAATCCCTGGGATTCCCTTGCAGATGGAGCAGCCTGTTTAAAAAGCCACAGCTCGGCCCTTTTTTTTTTTATTTTCAGAGCCCTTCCAAGTCCCCTTCACACTGTTAAAAAATCGTGGGCCCACCGCATCCCCGCAGCTGCCACCAGACTTCAGCTGGGGCGGGGGGTTAACTGGAATTTCCATCTCTGCTCTTCTCCTCCAGCTTCCTCAGCAAAACAAGGAGGGCTGCAGGCACCTGCTCTAGAGAGCAGGCTAAATGGACTTAAACCATCCACCCGAAGGCAGGCAAAACCTCAGCTCCTGTGATGAAAACAAGATTACAGACGTACAACTCATTAACCATGCCCAGATTGCAAGCTTGGTTGCTTTTGCTTATTTAAATAGCTTCTTAACCGTAACGTTAGCCCTTCCCCAAATATTTGTATAATGGGTACTTTGCCTCCAGTGATGCAACGAGTTACAAGCACTTCCATCTTCTGCTGAACCGCCGGTCAATTTGCTTTGTCTGAGAGCAAAAAAACCTCAGTGGAAAACTATGGTGAGCTCTGTGGAAAATGCAGGAGTCTCGGATGTTTCTCATTTTATAGTCAGCTTTATCCGTGAGCGATGAGCAAGCTGTGTGCTGGGTGAAACACCTACACAAAAGCATCTACGTGAACAAACTTTTGAAAATGGGGCAACCCACAACAGACGGCTTCCTCGGAGGGATCCAAGCTCCCCGTGGGTCTGCGGCAGCGTCGGATTCGTGGCCAGCTTGGTCTGCCTTCCCCTCTCCTGACCCAGCCCTTCCCCACCTCTGATCTTTGCACCGAGACCATGACCCCCTCCTGCTCCACGGGGCCTCCCTCATGCTACCAGAATCAAGCACTGACACCCCGTTTGCTTTGAGGGGTGGAAGTGCCTTATTCCCGATTCACGGAAGCGCTCAAATGTCAGTTATTGTCAGTTATTGTCCTGCGGGTCTGAGAAGAGCCCTAAAGCTCCTCCAGAAAGCAGAGGCGAGGAGGAAGAGTCCTGAGGACCCTCATGTGAGCAGATGCAAGTGTAGCTAGTGTGCAGAGCCCGGGGAGAGAGGGAGGTTTGTGGTTACTGCATTCAAGTTCTGAAAAGGCAGATGGCATTCCCCCCTACCACCCCCTTATCGCGCAGATCCTCATTTCGACTAGCACACAAGGTAGACCTGCAGGGCTTGTGTGGATTCTCTTCGAGGCACCAGCTATAAACCAGTCAGACACTCTCCAGTGCTTCGGCTGATGACAAAAAGATCCACTGAGAACGATGCGGTTTCACCCTGCACTAGCAGTGAGAACCTGAATTACTGAGCGACCAAGAAGGGTTTAAGGGAGGCGCCTGTTTGCAGACCTCTACTCACAGAAGACAGGCCGGGCCCTTTGCACCTCCTGAGCTGGGAAGATGTGGTGCAAGACCTCACTTTGGCTTTCACAAGGAACGGTTGTCCCGGCCCAGGTCAGCTGGAGGGAGCTGGACTTCACAACTTGCTCCACGCAGCAGCGTCCTCGTAAGATCCCCTGGGGCACCAGCCCCACCCTCAGGCCAGAATACAGGAGGCTTTCTCCGTATGTGTTGGGCAAGGAAATGCAAGGAGAGCGTGCAAGGAAGCAGCAGGACATCTCCAAGTGTGGATGCAATCACCTGCTGCTGCCACACACCTTTTTCCTGAATCTGAGAAGAGAGAAAATGCTGGGGCACTCCACCTGCTCCCTGCGACACAGGGAAGCAAGTGACACACAGCTGGTCCAGCTGGTCACTTCAGGCTCTCTCCAGTACCCAAGCTGAGGCTGTTCTGGGTCAGTGGTAGAGCCAACTCGCTTCAGCTCACTGTTTCTGCAAGGACAGGGGCAAACTGGAGGTCGTCTAAATGCAGCAAGATTTGATTCCTTTAGCCCAGGTCCATTCATTCTCAATTTTGCTCATCAGTAAGATGCAAACTGAATGCGAGCACGCATTCTCAAACAGTAGTTGGATACGCTGCTTACCAGGAAGTTTGCAAACGGAGCACTTTGCAATCCTGCTGAAGGTGGATTTAGATTGAGCTAGCAAACAGGAATAAAGCCTTCAGCCAGCTGCTCAGCAAGCACGGCGCTGGAATTAGAATTTTCATTACCATAGAGGGATAAAACTCAAACTCACCGTGCCTGTTTGTATATATGCAACTGCTGTCTTTAGAAAAGTGGATTGAAATCAACGCAAAATATTGCCCCTAAATGTCTTTAACATCAGAACTTAAAATGCAAATTCCCAGACTGGTCTTGAAGTGTTTCTAAGGTATTTCCTTCTGCAGCAACAAAACAGGCGGTAGAAGCACCTTTTGGCACCGGGAAATGCCATGAGAAGCACTCACAGACTGGGAGGCACAGAAGTTAACTCCCGACTTGTTTTATAGCCTGGATTGCTCTAATACTTTGTGATTAAAACTTTTGGATTTCACAGTTCCCCCACCACCATGAGCGAGCCCAGGGAGCGAGGAGGAGAGCGCCCACGTTAACGCCCGCTACTGCCGCTCGCTTCGAGATCTCTCGGACACTGGCACTTTGCAAAGAAGACCCCAACGAACCCACACTGACCTCATTCCGAGGGATTCTTTATTGCTTTCACAACCTCATCTTTGCAGCAGCTCCCCAAGAGCTTGTGAAAGAAACGGGGGAATCTGTTGGTTAAACGTCACCTTCAGGAATCAAGTAAAACGCACGCTCGAAGACAAAGGCGCGCTCGCAGGCGGTTGCCATCCGAGCGGCCCCCGTCGGACGGCGGTCGGGGGGAATTGGGGGGGGGAAGCAAAGAGCCTTAGCAACAGGGGCAGCAGTGCGAGTGGCACCAGGGAGCTGCCGGTGCCCTCTTCTAAAACGCCAGCCTAGCCAACCTCTCCGTTGGGGCCGGGCTTTCCCAGTTGCACCTCTGAGCAGAAGAGAGGGGGGGGCCAAAGCTTTTACCATGCCTGACGTCTGACGTTTACCCAGGGGGATTTTTTCATTCCCTGAGCTTCCTTCACCTCACTCCACTCCAGCTTTGTGTCTGGAACTTCATCGTCGGGCTCGGGGTCGCTGCGGACGGTCCCCTCGGGCAGCGCCACGACGATGGGCAGCGGGCCCTGCTCCTCCCGGAACTCGACTACGTAGAGACCCTTCTGGTTTGCTAACTGTTGGTGAGTCTCCTGGGAGGAGGAAAGAGAACAGACCGTCAGAAGTGTTGGTTTACTTCAGCTCAAACATGGCATACGGGATAAGGGGGGGGAAAAAAAAAAAAAGAAAAAAAAAAAAAGCAATTTACTAATAAACAGTTTAAACACCGCGTAAATTAAATGACTCGTCAAGGCTCATCCTCATGGGTTTCAAATGAGCTAACCGCATAAGCCGCAGGAATTCAGACAGCTAGACTGCAGATATACTAGCATTGCAATGTCATCCTGCAGGAACTTGCTTCTGGAAAGGATCTGGCCAGAAAAAGCATATCCTGCTAATAAGGATGCATGCTGGCACGTCAGTAATGTGCATTAACATTTTTACATCTTTATATGGATATAGATTTTACTATGACAACAGTGAAGTGCATACTAAAGCCCTGACAGGTAATATTAGCTAATATAATGATACGAATTTGACATGATTTTCAACTATACCTCTTCCTCGCATACAAGTTGTTTTGTTAACACTCATTTTACAGAATAATTGTCAACTGGGAACAGGAAATTTTTCCCATTCGGGACAGCCAAGAAAATATATCAAGTGCACATCTCTCAAAGCAATAATCTATACAGCCGGCCTTTCTTCTATTCATTCTGTGGAAGACTTCTCAGAGACAATGCATTGAAAATATATGACAGGCTTCCTCAAGTCTGATTAACCTCAGACACTTGGTAAAGATCTGTAACTACCCCATCAGGCAAAGAGGACCATAACCCTCTCCCAAAGCTAAACTGAACGAGTTGCCTAGGACAGGGTGATGGATTTAACCACTGCAGCTCTGCAGGGCTATACTGGGAATGTAAGCAGGTAAATCCTGGCAGCTACCAAGGCTCTACGACCAAATGAGATAACCAGGAATTTCCAAAGGACTGACACATCCTAAAGCTGCTGTTCAAAGGCAGGCAGATGAAACGCTGCATGTTGGATCTTCCCATCAGCTACAGGCAGCTGGCTCAGAGAGAGACACTTCTGAGCTGGAAGAAATGATACCACCTCCCTGACTTATTTCAGAGATCTTACTTATACTGGCAACAGGAGCAGCTGGGACCTTCGGCAACAAAAACTCAGAATGCAGACAAACAAGCAGCAGCAACTGAGGCTGGGCCACGGCTGCCTCCGCTCAGGATTTTTCAGAAGTCATCAAAATACTACAGATGAAAGCCCAGAAATTCCGATGTCCCCTGAAGGCACTTGGCTGTGGAACAGGCAGAGTTACACCCAGCTGTTTCTGACTGGACAACTTCATACAACCCCTGAGGAATTATTCGCACGCTGATTTTGTTTGCCCTTTGGAATATTACTGAATTTTAAGCCTAGAATATAAAGGGTTTGACCACAAACTATTACAATATCAATCTGTCCCCTGACCTAATGTATAGAACCACTGAGAATGCACTCTACCTGTTGTGTCAAGCCTTTAAAGAGAGCTCTGGTAATGTTAATCAAGTTTTTGGATCCAGAAACCTTGGCGTACATGTCTTTAATGCCAATTAGTTTGCAGATGGTGATGATAGCTCGGTGGCAATGAAGACCATACCCTGGGTGGGGGGGGAAAAAAAAATATATAAATTAGCATTACGTGATTATTTCTAATACTACTTAGCTAAGGAAGAAGAGAGTACTAAGACCTCTTCTCAGTTATTTTTGTTACCTCTTCTTAGTTTTGTTACCTAGCATATTAGAACACACTGTATCTTAAAAATGGCAAAACCATTCTAGGAAGACCATTCTTCCCAGTCTTTGCAGCCATGCTAACATAAAGATCATTGTTTTTTTTTTTTTTATCCTAAATACACTTTACTTAATTTATTGCAAATCTAAATGAAAACATCACTACCTATAAACTCAAAACATAAACTCAGAAAAAAATGCAACCTGAAGAGCTGCTTAATACCAGGGGTTTGGGTGGTATTCCTTAGGAGTACCACTGGCAGCTTTCAAAGAATGATCCACAAACATCCCCCAACAGCATGGGAACAATCACCAAACAAAAGGCAATTTCTTTCTCCCACTTTCCAGAAAGTTTTTTTTTTACGGCGTAAGTTGAATGAAAAAGCCTCACTGGGCAGGGCAACAATAGTATGTCAGCTACAAAAGGATCCCTCCTGGGAAAAAAAGAATGGAGAGGCAGTTTGCTTCTTGAATCTAATAAAAAAATGGAGATAAATTAGGACAACAGTCTGGTGAGGTAAAATTAAACATAGGGTGACTGTGATTGTTCTTGTCTCTGAGGTTCATGAATGTACCGTGTCAGACAAGGTAGGAAGATATGTCTTACTCTGTGTTCCACCACAAGAAAATAATATCTGATGCGAACCTTCCTTTACCATTTAACATCGATGGCATCATTTGTTTGTACATGCATGGTCAAAGGTATAGTTGAGTTGTGCTACTGCTCCAAGCCTGCTTTCCATTCATTATATTGAAGATTAAACTGATATTTAAGTGGCTGTCTTAAAAATTATAGCCCAATTACCTAGTTTACCACCTTGAGAGCTCCTTAAATACAGAAAAAGTGCAGAAACATAAACGAGAAGACAGTCTGACTCCATATCTGTTTAACTTGTAAAGATTTTTCCAAGTCCGTGTCACGCTGATTAAAAAACCCCCTCACCCCAGAAGCAAAAGGTTGCCTAATAAAAACCGTGCTGAGGGTTCTTAGCAATTTTAGATTTTTTCAAAATACATTAGTGACTCTGAACATCAATAATTGTATTCTCATATTACTCATGTGACAGTGCAGAACAAGAATACCAGACACACAAAATCAAATAGTACGTCCAAAGCGTCAGTGTTTCAGCTTACTCAAAGGTTGCAGAAATTGATGAATTAAGTAGTTGAACATGACAGTGTTCTGACTGGAAAATTATCGCTAGTTTCTGACTTATTATAAGCTAATCATTAAATGCTCTTGCAGTTTAGATCTTATAATGAAACTGAAGTGATTTACAAAGAACTAGCCATGTAAATGAATTACTTTCCTATTCGTATATGAAAATTAGAGGACCAATTAACAGTGCTCAGTAGCAAACTAAATCCGTTTTCTACAGAACAGCCGCTGCCTTTATCTGCCTTGAAAGCAGAGTTAGGCTAAACAAGTCAAACCAAACCTTGGTACATAAAGGCCTAGCTCAAAAGATTCACGCAAAGAAATGACCTCATGTCATCACGGCAGGTCTTCAAAACAGAAAGACCCAAGGAGGTAAAATGCATCACACTGAAAACTGTGATGCATTAGAAATAAGCTAACCTTTAGCTCCCCAAACCACCTCATGTGTTAAAACTTTTTTGTTGCGATCCTGAAGAACGTGACAACGGATTACACGGTTGCTCTGGATATATCCCTGTCATTGTAAATAACTGGCAAAGCACATACTGCAACAGCTCTGAAGGTGAGGAAAGGGATAGCAGAAAGTCAGCAGCGTGTCTTCAGAAGGTCAGTGTTCACGTGGAAGCTATCAGAGACAGCACACACACAGCTGAGCAACAACATATGGGGGACTGTGTATCTCTGGCTAAATCTGGGAGGGCAACACGGTCACGACCCTCCGGCAATTTCCAGTCTGATGATAAAATCCGCGCTGTCTTGCTGGTGCAGAGCTGTTGACACTGGACATGCTGAGTTGCCATACTTCACAACTATTGACAGTGGTTTAGTACCACTGTGGACTGGAAGTATTTTTAATTGCGAGTACTTCCGACGGGCTGCTAGCTGTAAGGGTGTGTGGAAGGAGAGGGGCAAGAACATACAGGGACACAAACATGACTGACAATAAGGGAGGCAGAGAACCAGACTTGGTCAGCCACGCTAATTGATGAGAGCACGTGAGAGTGAGAATGTTTATCCTAGTTGAGTTTATCTGATTTCAGATCTTGCCAGCTGGGAAACTGAGGGGAAAAGGGGAAACCGGAAACAAAATATACAGCAACGCAGACCTGACGAAACAGAGAGACAATGACAAGAAACAAACATCGCCACTACCTGATGGGCAATCAAGAAACTACAGGTGTCACTGCCAGGAAGATCAGCCTGGACTTTGCAGCTGCTAATTCTGCTGCTTCTATTTCTGCCGGCTGAAGAGGAGGAGGGGACTTGACTGTGTTTTTGTGAGTCCGGGACATGGGTGCTGTTGAAGACAGCACCTTGTCTGTGGCCAGCCGTATCGGTGTCCGTGTGGCTCTGGGAATGCATAATCAGCTCTGCTGCTGGTTGAACCTGCAGATGGGAAGGTGACGGCCCCATCCCTCAGCCTGGGCCCTGGGTAACCGGGCTGGGCTCCAGGGGTTGGGCAGGAGGGTCCTGGCCTGGAGGAGGCAGCTGCACATCTAACAGCACAGTGGAAGGACAGACCTGCGAGCTGAGAGCTAATGGCCATGGACTCACCATTACTCACATCTAACCTACATGAGCCTAAAGAAGCATTTGCCTGTACTACACCTGGCAGCCAAGTGACCAAGAGCTTGCAAAGATGGAGAAATGAAAACACAGCCGCTGTGTAACAGTGAGACGGTTTTTGTGCTGGTCTGGTGTAGGACAACAAGCCAGGGTAGATATTCCCTCTGGTTTACCCACAGGGAGCTCTTGATGTTAGGGAAAATAAAGCAGTAATGGTCTCGAGGAAGCAGCAGGCTGAATGCTATCCTGGCTCCAGCTCGTGACCACAGGCAGTGCGAGGCAGGTGAGGGAGGGCATCGTTGAGGGATAGCCCATGCTATCCCAGTACAGGCTCAGGAGGGACTGGCATACAGCTGCAGCTTGCACTCTGACTCCCATTTGAAGCACTCCCACTACTGCGTACTAAACTAGCTCTGAATCTTGTCTTGAAAACCACAGCTAAAAAAAAAAAAGGAAAAAAAACTTCGCTGAAAAATAATGGAACGAACCCATCAGTTCCCCAAAAGCATGCCTGGGGCCATATGGTGGGAAGAAAAATCTGCAGGGTTCCTCTAAAGGCCTTTGCCTTCAACATCTATGCTACTAGATTGGACCTTTTCCACATCTAGGTAATTTAGAGCTGAACAAACTACGCTTAGGAAGCATGAAAGAAAACCAAGAACTGGGCTCCCACCAGTTTAGGAAGGACAAACCCCGATTTACAATAAATAACAAAGCCATGTCATCAACAGGAGGTACTTCTAATGAAAAATAATTTATCATCTTCAACATTTAAAACATGGTAGACTAGCACCAAATGATCCGTCTCTGAAAGAAAGGGACACTGCATAAATTTAACTTAATGAAGTAAATACCAGTCAATAATTAATAAAACTTCAAAATTTCCAGGTAGCTTTAATTACCTTTGTTTTGCTTCTTCATGCGGATGGTTGTGCTTTTAAATTTCACTGTAATGTCATGGTAAACTGTAAGGGAGAAAAAAAAGGCATGACAGCTAAATTCTTCCTTCTGGAAAAGCTTTAGCTCAGCACATTTAAGGACTACCTCTTCCTTTTTCAGAACTGTGAATGGGAAGTTGCTTTTACTCTCCTCTGAGTTCTTTAAAGAGAAGGGTTAATCTCCGTACATTTCTGAAATAAGATTAGGAATGTTTACACACCTGTAAATACTATGTTACTGTTCTACAGAAAACCAAGCTTCACTTGAAAAATCCGAAGTGTCAGTATGCCTCCAATGATCCTCATTTAGCTTTGAAGTGAGCTCACGTGATACATTTTAACCTTCTTCCTCAGTTTTTTCTAATAATTCAGCTTTTAACCTAAGATTTCCCCGCCGGCTTCAGCATTCCTGGATTTTTCCATACAGACTGTTTACAGAATATTCCAGTCTTCCTGCTTCTCTCTGCTTCAAAAGGAACCCCAGACTCATATTCCTCTGGTGGGTGGCTGCTATATACATTTGATTCAGTGGCTCAGTCTCTGCATAGTGGATTCTAGCACTGCAGTCCAGATGGCTCAGAGAGAACCTCTGTGTTAAGTAGAATGGAAAGCATGGTGGCAACACCACCAGTTTTTAATTCCCCAGTCTGTTCCTGTGAAATATTAATGTTCAAGGACTCACGACAGTAACTGCAGTTGTGTATTTGTAAGCTGGAGTTTTATTATACTGAATATTTACCTACACAATAACTTCGTTAAATACTTGTGTGCTCTGTAAGGTGCTATCTTTCAAACTTTTTCTGACAGATAACCAAGTATTTGGTGCACTGGCACCACGTCTGACATCAGAGAGGACGGACTTGTATGGTATTAAATTGAATTAACAACAAGCTACCATGAAACATCAGATTGACTTCTCCAGCCCGCGTTCTCCCTGGCTGCTGGGCTTTGTCAGCACACACGGACTGAGTCAACGGGGAATCACCTCGGACATACAAAGGGGAAAAGCACAGAGGAGTTCACTGTAGAGAAGAGATGCTCAGACAGTATCTGACTTCCTTAACTCAAATTGGGCTAGCAGAGATCTCATCTTGCTACTCCTCCCTTCTCCTGTCCCCATTTTTAAAGAGCCTGAAATAATATGCATTCAGTAGCCAAATTTTAAACACAGAATTGTATAATAGCTTGGGTCGGAGGGGACCTTTACAGGTCATCTAGTCCACCCCCCCTGCAATGAGCAGGGACATCCTCAGCTAGATCAGGCTGCTCAGAGCGCCGTCCAGCCTGACCTTAAATGGTTCCAGGGATGGGGCATCTACCACCCCTCTGGGAAACACGTTCTAGTGTTTCACCACCCTCATTGTAAAAAATTTCTTCCTTGTGTCTAGTCTAAATCTACCCTCTTTTAGTTTAAAACCATTACCTCTGTCTTATCGCAACAGGCTGTACTAAAACGTCTGTCCCCATCTTTTATGGCAAGGAATATAAATCTCTCAATATTTTAACAGCATCATCTCGTATTATGTAATCTTAACTTTTTTTCATGGACCTTCCTACAACTGTTGATACAGACCTGCGTGAAAGTCAAGAGTAAACCACAGATTAATTCCAGGTAATGGTGATTTATTTTACACGGGGATTGACAGACTATGCACTCTGACATTACCACTGACTAGTTAAAACAGTATGGGGCTAAGATTTCATACGGTGTGCTGAAGAAGCAAAGTAAAGCATGAAGAAGGATAATACGATGCATCAGATCAGAAAGGTTTTAGTTAACGTCTTTTTATGCTTTGTTACTAGTTGCAACCAGTTCTTGTTGGTATATTCACTTCAAGAAAGAGTCTAAAAAAATCGTAATACTTACTTGTGTGGTTTTGATAGAGCTCTATAAAATGTAAGCAGCGTATTGCTTTATTCTTTGCCTAGGGAATAAAAGCAGAAAACATTTTTTCTTGATTTTTTTCCACAAAATCTTTGAAATATGCCATTGTTCAGTTAACTAGACAGAAAAAGAAGTGAGAAAGAAAACTCTAGAAAACAGGTTTCCCACATCTAAACCATTTATTTTATGGAAATGAAAACGTTCTCTTTAAGGAACCTTCTCCTAACAGATGTAATATTTAAAAAGATTTCTCAATATAACAACAACTTTGTCAAACTGAGTATTTCAGCATTGCTACTTCCATAGCTTACTTGAGCATGACAATGCAAATTAGATTAATATAGATGGATAAGTAACATTTTGAAGTCTAATGGAGCCTTAATAAGGTCGTTATACATGTGTCAGAAAAATCTGTACACACTAACTGTATGCACAGATTGTATGCTATATAGATATTGAAACAAGTGGCCAAGGGGGGATAGGTACAGACTGTAGAAAATAAAGAAAATAAAAGAATGAATTAACAGAACCTCATTACAGGGCAATCTCATTGTGTGTCCAAAGGAGCAACAATGCTGGTGAAGGGTCTGGAGCACAAGTCTTACGAGGAGCAGCTGAGAGAACTGGGGTTGTTTAGGCTGAGAAGAAGAAGCTCAGGGGAGATCTTCTCACTCTCCACAACTACCTGAAAGGAGGGTGTAGCGAGGTGGGTGTCGGTCTCTTCTCCCGAGCAGCAAGTGATAGGATGAGAGGAAACGCCCTCAAGTTGTGCCAGGAGAGGTTTAGATTGGATACCAGGAAGAATTTATTCCCTGAAATGATTATCAAGCATTGGGACAGGCTGCCCAGGGAAGTGGTTGAGTTGCCATCCCTGGAGGTATTTAAAAGACGTGCAGATGTGGCGCTTAGGGACAGGGTTTAGTAGTGGACTTGGCAGCGTCAGGTTTATTGTTGGGCTTGATGATCTTAAAGGTCTCTTCCAACCTAAATGATTCTAGGATTGTATCAAGATGGACAAAACATGTACGTGGACTTACTTCCTTGCATAGACTACCAAAGATACTTATTACTAAAAAAAAAGTAGGTATGAATTATTTGTATTTGTCATCAAGCAACAAATAATTCCATCAACCTACTTTCCGTAAAGCATTCATCCGGTTATCTGCTTTCCCAATTGCAAAACCTGCAAGACAGAAAAGAGTCATTTTATTACTGAGAAACAGACAAGGCAGGACCTTCAGGAAGCAAAGGAGAAAAAAAACAGAGAACTTCACAAACACTTTCAGTATCTGTTATTTCTACTCCATTGCATAGATCATACCCAGTAAATGGTACAGAGAAAACCACAAAAAGTAACAGTTCAGGGGTTACTAATACCTAACAATGGGATGCCAGTTGCTTGTTGTCAAATGAAAACAAATAAGGCTGAAGTTCTATCTTTTGTGTATTTGTCCAAACGATTGAACAGTGGTGACTGTTTCAGGCAGAAAAAGACCAGTCTTCTGCTTAAGAAGAAAGAAGGGAATGAATTAAAAAAAGGAAGCTGATGTGGATGTATCAAGGTCTGTACAAAGAGTAACTCCAAGACCCTAGAAGCAAAGGAGGACACTGGGTTTCTGTTCGTGAAACAGAGAATATGAAAACCAGGTTTAACAGCATAATGCAAAAAAAATGTGTGCCTGCAGAACAGAGAAAAAGCAGCCTGCCAGTTTACAAACTGCTACCTATTTCTCTCTGAACCCTCAGACTTACTCCTATTTACCAGGTCAACTGCAGTAGTGAGGAAGAGATTTCACAGCAGTCTCGGAGTATCTGCAGTCAGCTCAGAGCAAGGCATCAACTGACTGGATGCAGCGAGTAAGAGGATGTGACAATCGTTCTTACAAACTCCCTAGCCCAACCATGTCAAGGTAGGTTGAATTAAAATGATTTAACTTCAAATCATCAGATCTAGCTTTTCTGGTCCTTTGATGTTTCTGTTGTGTCAGCTGGGGCTGTGGGTTACCTGTATCCAAAAGCCTAATCCGAAAAGCAATGGGATTGGAGTCACTGGCCAACAGTGACTCACTAATTTCATGCAGACATTACAGGAGAAACGGGCTGGAAGAGATCTAGGAAAGAAATGCCATCCTGACTATTGTGGTGCTACAAGAAAAGAGGGTATGACCACAAGCCTGGAGGCCTGTGGAAGCAGCAGATGGTCAAGGGTAGTGTCAACTATCAGCTACCTCCTGAGACAGCTTTCCCCACGCAGGCACCATGCACCCAGAGGTCTCTGTTACTATCTCCTGCACAAGAAAACGCAAGGAAACTGCATTATTCTTTTAATCACAACAGCAGTGCATTCATACCTGGAAGTCACTCAATAGATTAGAAAGTCCCACAGATGAGGTCACCTGGGCAACCTCAATTCAACCATTCAGCACATATGGATTAAAGCGATAAGGTATTTCATGAAAAAGCTTTTCAGAGAAGAGGTAGGAGGAATTTTTTCAGAGTAACGTGTCTTTCTGCTGGTGAACCACACTTTCCTCTACATATAAATTTTATTCCCCTCCAAACTGCCATTAAAATCGAGGAACACATCTGGACTTGAATCTTTCACATAAATGAAGTTATGCAAAACCACAGTTGACTGGAAATCCAGTTGTCTTATTAAAGCTCCCACATACACCCCGTCATCAGAGATACCTATTAAGCTCATAATAAAAAGGAGACTATTTATATCCAAAAGGTGGATGCTCTGCTTATATACTGAGAGCAGGATTTTCTTTACTAGAGTCATATAGCAATGCAAATGCAATTTCTTGTGCTCTGTCACCAATACAATACGTGCAATATTGCTGCCTCATGTTAGAGGTAGGAATTCTCTATTATTTGGATTATATTATTTGGATTATTTACTTCACAGCTATTAATCTTCTATTCTTTCAGCTGATTCTCCTCTTAATTCTGTACAGCTGTCTTACCTCTAAGTTTGAGGCCTAACAGCCATCTGTACACGCAAGCAAATGCATGAAAACTATCTCCTTATGGAAAAAAACTTAGCACACTCAAGAGTGTTTCTTAACTAAAACTTACCCTGCAACAAAAGTCTTTAACTCCTGGCATTTGAAAACTGAGTGAAAGAGAAACACTGTCTCCTCAATAAAATAATTGGAAATTATGAAGAAACTCATTGCTGTGCAGGGTAGCTGCACAGTGCCTTTATGCTGGGATCCAGGGCGAGTTAATCCAAGTTAGACGCCGCACAGAGACGGTTTGATTGCTTCTAGAGATACCTTGGTCATCACTACTTTGCATACATAAACTGTGCTTAGAGTTCTGCTACAAGGAAATCACATCTAAATGGAACGCCTCTGACCAGTATTCTTACCCCAAGTCTTTGTTGAGAAAGAAAAGGAAAAGGGTCTCTTTTCACAGCTTGTATTCTAACATCCTTCCCAACCTTACATTTCTTTTGATTTGTCTGTTGTGGTTTAAGCGCAGAGGGCAATTGAGCACCACACAGCTGCTTGCTCACTCCTTCCCCCTCAGGATGGGGAGGAGAAAATAGAAAAAAAGGCTCAAGGATTGAGACAAGGACAGGGAGGGGTGACACACCATTACGGAAAAAGACACTCCAAACATCAATTTGAACACCACCATCACCAACACTTAAACAATCGGAGGTAGGACAGTGTGAAATACAATCACAACTTATAAGTACCTTCCCTCCATCCCTCCCTTCTTCCCAGGCTCAGCTTTGCTCCAGATTTCTCTACTCCTTCTCTACCTCCTCCCCCCACAGCAGTGCAGGGATGGGGGTTGCAGTCAGTTCATCACCCATTGTATCTACCAATCCTTCCTCCTCAGGCGGAGGACTCCTCATACCCTTCCCCTGCTCCAGCGTGGGGTCTCTCTCACGGGAGATATTCCTCCGTGAATTATCTCCCACGTGGGTCCTCCCCACAGGCCACAGCCATTCCCCAGGCCCCCCCCGGCGTGGTGCAGCCCTCCCAGTGCCGAACTACAACAGTGGGGGCTGCTTCTCCCCTCAGAGTCCCGGCCTCCTTTCAGCGCAGCCGCCTGTCCTGGCGTGGGCTCCTCCACAGGCTGCAGGTCGGCCTCTGCTCCACCGCGGACCTCCACGGGTGGCAGGGGGGTGGCCCTGCTGTCTCCCCCCGGGATACAGGGTGGGGGTCTGTGCTCTGACACACCTCCCCCCCTTCCTTCTCCTTCCTTCCACTGCCCGGGGTGTTCGTCCTTCTCCCAACTCCTCCTCACCAGTCCCAACCCCCTCCCAGGTTCCCCCTCTTAAACACGTTATCGCAGAGGCACAACCACCATCGCTAATTAGTTCAGCCACTAATTGGCCAGAGGTGGGACCGACTTGGAGCCAGGGGAGCTTCGAGAAGCTTCTCCCAGGGGGCCACCGCTGCAGCCCCCTCCCCGCTACCAAAAACTCTGCCATGCCTCCTATTTACTTTATGCCACAGACAGCATTTCTATGGTTAGACTTCAAATTGCATGGTGAAGAGACCATTACAAAGAGTCATAATGCAGAAAGCCTACAAATGGGTCAAGCCACACATCACCGAAGTTACTGTAACACCAGACTCAAAGGGCCCTGAGTATTCTATTTTTCCCTAAATGTGTATAAATATTTGTAGGAAGCCCATAAAGTGGATTTTTTTTTTTTAATGATTAACTTCAATAAAATAAGAAAGCCTCCTAAAGAGACTAAATCAGAAGGAAATCTAGGGTCTTCCAATTTGACAGATTCATTAAGAGTTTCTGCATCAAGACGCTAGCTGAGGCTACCAGTAAACAGACCTTTTTCACCTAAAAGCAGTTGTACTTCCAAGGGACTATCCTGTGACTTAGGGAGAAGAAAAAACAAACAAAAAAACCCCCAGTCAGATTTATACTAATTCTACCTAGAAATAATAATGCTAGTGCCCTGGTTTTGGCTGGGATAGGGCTAATTTTCACAAGGAGCTGGGAGGGGGCACAGCCAGGACAGGTGACCCCAACCAGCCAAGGGGATATTTGGCACCGTGCTGACATCATGGCCAGTACATAAGTGGGGGAACTGGGCGGGGATGTGGGGTGCAGATTACGGGGTGCAATTGCATTGTGTATCACTCCCTTTATATATTCATTTTATTAGTGGTGGTGTTATTTTTTCTCTCCTTCTGTTGTTCTGTTAAACTATATCTTAACCCATGAGGTTTTACTTTTTTTTTTTTTTTTTTTTCCCCCTTCCAATTCTCCTCCCCATCCCACCGGTGTGAGCGAGCAGCCGCCTTGGTGCTTAGCTGCCAGCTGGGCAGAAACCACGACAATAAGCTAGAAAAGGACCCAGGAAAGCACACGACCAGCCACACTGCCCTTTGCTGCAAAGCTGTCACCGCTGTTAGAGCAAATGAAAATAAACTCCCCTCCCCACCCCAATAACCCCAACAACACGAAAGTGATTTTCAAAACCAGAAAGCCAAATTCACAGCTACTGACTCCTACTTCCTTACGATTCCATCTGCTCTGGTAACCACGGAGCCCAGGTCCATTTTAGTCAGGCACAGGCACCTCTGTGAAGAGCACGCCCAGCTGAATTTTCTTCCGCCACCACTGCAGGGGTCTGAATACCTCCTGGGGCATGAGAGCCCATCCACAATTCCAGGCACCTGGAATTTGCAGGTGCCCGATCCCTTCTCTTGGACTCGAGAGTAAACAACTACACTCCGCAGCTGGGTGCCTAAGGTTAGGTAAAATAAATGCAAATATGCATGGCTGAGTTCTTGCAGGCTTTGATTTTTTTGTAAACATGAACAGTACATATGGTAAAAAGAAACAGTGTGTACAGGAAAGCACAGATGATCCCTTCTGCTAGGATCTACCAGTGGTTAGTTCTATAACTCCAGAGTTAAACAAAAAATGTTTTTAGCACTGGATAACATATGCTCCAAATCTCATCACATATTACTACTTTTCCCAATTTATTTATTTATTTATTTATTTAATACAAAACAAAGTGTCCAAGTGAATACATACATAATTCGATTATAAAACTTACCTTTATAGATGAAACTCAAAATTTCTACAGGCATTTTAATGTTGCCTAGTGGAAAAAAGGGTAAATTTCTTCTTCTTTTTTTTTTTTTTTTTTTTTTTTGAGATCATGCCTCCCAAAGTCCTATTACAAACAGTAATTAATTTGGCATCTTTTACATACAGTAAATGCACATACCTGCAGCCCCTTTACCATTTCCAATAGCCACTAAAGCACGTGTTGATTTTTTTCTGCCTTCCTTTGCTTTCATACAAAACACATTTTTCACCTGAAGAAAAAAAAAAACCACAAAGCATCTCGTTATGGCACAGTCCAACTGTTTTTTTTTTTTTTTTTTTTTTTTTTTAAGAGAGTCAGTTTAGCAAAAACAGAATTAGAGGTCTGTGATAAAGCTTTACAATATATACTGGTTTTGTCAGCAGGCATGGTCTGCAGTGGGACACTGACTTCAAGGCATCAAGTATGTAAAGGCTGCAAAAAAAAAAAATCGATACTCAGACGCAGAAGAAGTTACTTCAGTTTCATTAAAACTCTGTTTGGCTGCACAGCAAATAGTGTTCTGATTTCAATCATGATGAAAAAAGAAGGGAAGAAATTGAAAGTGGTGTTAATATCTCACTGCCCCCCTCGCATTTTAACCCATTTTAGAAGTACTCTCAAGCACTGCTGAAGGCATGTTGTTGGTTTACATGGGTTAAAAATTAGGATTGAAATAGACTTGAGGACTGCAGAAGGCAGCCTCATGGCGGAGATGACAGCAGCTAAAAAGACTTCATTTAAGAGTTGGGGAAGAAGAAAATGGTATTTCATTCCCGGAGCTAGAGATGTTTGCAGAAACTCTGCAAGAAATTCAAGCAGAGATGCAAGAAAGCTATTTAGTTGGGAGTTGGGGGACGAAATCAACAACAACTGGGGAGACAGGTAGCCTTATGGTTAGCATTCTGGAAATCTAAATTTGCTTCTGCAGCTGCTGTAGACTCCCCTACATGATTACAGGCAGGTCACTGCTTTATAGTCTCCCACCTTAAATGGTCTAATATATCATCTGAGGTGCTTTATCCACCTAGCTCCTGTTCTAGTTTCCTTTTTTTTTTTTTTTTAAATATATTAAAATACATATTTATTTAAATATAGACATGTATTTTAATACATCGTTTACATACTGTATATAAAACATAAACTTTATATAAAATATAAAACTGCCATAATATATAGTATCTATAAGATATATATATACCATGCTGGATGTTGCCTGACTGTGTCAATATTTGTGTCTCAGAATTACCAGTCAAAAGATACAATTTACTTCACGGTTCATTTCTCCCCTTCCTCTCAAACGCAACAGAGTCTAATTTCTTGAAGCCTCAATATGATTTCCATAAATCACAGTAACAGTGGAATGAAACCTGCATTGTTTATACATGAATTAAGCAGTGCTGCCCCCTTTTCCTTCTACGTAATTTTTCAGTAAGCTACCCTGATTGTAGCGGTATACATCTCAAAGTAGATTATTATAAAATACTTGGTCATGGCTTAAACATTCTTACTGAAATTAAAAAATAAAAATAAAACAACAACAACATAAAAAACCAAAACAACCCCCAAAAATTTCCACTGACGTCACTAGGCACAGATTAGGCATGAGTGCTTCTGAAAAATTCTACTTTGCTTTCATTAAAACAAGGACGCTGCTAAATTCAAGGTGCATATATATTCTAGGGAGCACTTTGAAGAAATACCAGCTTTGCTAATCGCTTATTCCAAGCTATTTATCTTTCTGCAATCTCAATGCTTACAAGAACAAGCTAAAAAACCAAGCCCCCTAGGATGAAAGTGCTTGTGGAAACAGGCTCTTTACAGAAAAGGCAAAATAACGATGAAAGAAAAGAGAGCGAGGCAGAGTGATCTCCCCAGGAGCATACTATTTTTGCTTCGCACATGTTTTTATCTTCCACTGCCAATCTGAATACGTACTTGTACAAGAAAATAGTTAGCATGTGTATTGTCAAAAATAAAGGATGCAGAAATCTACGCAAGAATTATTCTCCTCCCTTCCCAGAAGGTGGCAATAAAGACACATACATGAGCTTCTCCAGCAGTCTTCCTAAAAATGCTCGTCAGCTGTTTGTGAGCAGCTCCGAAGGAAAATGTGTTCAGTCAGCCCTCACAGTCAGTGCTACTGCACTCGGAAGGCCTTTCAAGCTGGATCATGTACACAGGCAGCCGGGGCTGCTGGAACAACCATGTCCTTAGATTCCCCCCGCCCCAGCCCCGTGCCTCCTTCCACCCAAGCAAGCAGTGCTCTTCCAGGGTGAGCTCGGCAACGTGCCGCTTTAAAAACAGCATGGCCTCCGAAAAGTGACTGAAACGAAGACACAATTACCCCTGTTTGCTAGATTGCCACTCAAGCCAGATTTAAAGCCAATTTTAAACATTCGAAAACAGATGCGTGTTCAACCTTAATCACAGTGTACCTCAAACTGACTGGCTCCCTGTATCCGTCATCCAGTGGTGATAATACAAATTCATCTTTCTTTCAAGAGCTGAGGGAAGAACAGCATCTCTCAAATGCAAAATGAAAGCACTTAAACATTTATTAAGAAACAGCAAGCGACAGTTTCAAAGGCAGAACTGGAAGTGTGGTAACTGGCTAGTCAGACACGGGCTGTTAAAGGTTATTGTGATTTCAAGTACTGAGCAGTTGTTGCACACTAGTTAGAAAAAGGTAAAAGCCCAACACTTCCCTAGAGGTTTTGTTCTTGTAAAAACAGAATGAATGACAGGCCAAACTGACTGCCCTTGGATAGTCCTCCTTCCTAGAAATTGTACTGGAGCAATGATTTTTAGGAACCTGCCACTTCTAGGCCACATTCTTGACACTGCTATTCTGCTGCTGCTGTTATGCAGAGGAGAGTGTCTGCACAGGCTGCTCCTCTCACGGCATAAGGTCCTCTGGTCCCAGTACTTCTCCAAGTTACAAGCTGAGATGAGATAAAATGAGAGCAGGGTGCAGTGCTGGAAGAAAAACACTTCCATGCAAGCGAGCCTAGAGAGGCTCAGACACATGGCTAAAAGGCTTAGGAAGCCAGTTACCCCAAAGAATTGAGTAATAAACTCGTGAACAAAAAATCAAGCCTATGTTAGCTAGATCATCTCCGTATCAGCCTTGCCTTCTCTATGAGAAGCACCAAAGGCAGAGCAGATTTGTACCACAGCGACAGGACGTCTCCCAGTTGTAACTCAAACCTAAATATCAGTAGCTAAAAACCAGAAATTGCACAAGCTGGCTGGAGGGCAGAGCTAGTATTACTGCTGACAAGTGACAGGGGTGTCATACGGTTTCCCGAAAAGGGGGCAAATGGTGGGCAGTGGCATTCACGAGCGCATGCACATTTGCAGATGCCTCGAGGAGCAGCACGGCCCCTCTGTCCATCCGACACCACTGCCCAGGCCCTCTTACCCACTCCATGGATCTTCTACTTGCTGGCTGGTCCAGCTTGGTCCTCCCTAGCAAACGTGCAGCCCTCACACACTCGTCCCACAGGCACTCTGTATTTACAGGTCCTCCTGAATATAAGCAACTGGTCCTCTCTGCTTGCCTGACCCCAACCCCGGACCTCAGGCTTCCTACTTCTCTGCTCCTACTCTCTTCAAGCTAGTCCAGCTTGAAGTTTGCTAACAATTTAATACCACCCCCACCAAACCCAAACCAAACATCAGGTTTGGGAAAGACACAGACCCTTGCGGAGCCGCGGACGAACGACACGCCGAGACGGGTTCAGTGTGGGAGATAGAGCATCAATCACCGTGTGTCTTTATTGGTCCAGGGTACATATATTTATACAGACAATGATAATTATTATGCCTACTAGTCACTAGCTGATTGGCTTAAGCTCCAAAGGTCGTATTCGCACGGTCCACCCACCTGCAGTTAGCTTACAGCACAAGCCTCTCACAACACTAAGTTTCTCATGCCACTATTTCTGATTCCTGTTGACTTGTTTTCGATACACGACAGTACCGTAACACAATGTTTCTCAGACCACCGTTACCATAACACTGGGTTTCTCAGACCACTATTCCTAATTCCCCTTACCCTGTTTTCGACCCACCACGGTACACAGGGCTGAAGCGTCCTTGACATTCCTCCTGTATCAGCAGCTGCGAGCAGCTGCAGGCAAACCCTAGTGAGGCTCAGCATCAGCAGCTAGAGCAGGCTCTGATCATACAACTGCTCGGTGGGCTCAGGACCCTTGTCTCTGAGCCATTCTCCAACAATTCCCCCTTTTTCTTTTTGTATGAGCAGAGCCTGCGCCAACGTTCGTTCAAAGATTTTCTTAATACATGACAAGGCACAACTTAGGCATGCAGGCTTACAATCTACTGGCTAAAAGCACAGGACCCTTGTCTCTGAGCCATTCTCCAACAGACCCTCACCTCCCTGCTGCCTCCACAGCAGCTGGCACCAGGCCCACACGCTGTGACCTGTGGGTGCTGTCCCAGGCACCCGGGCTGAGCCCCTGACTTGCTTCACTCACCCCGGTCCCTTCCACTAGCTGATTTGCAGGGCACACACCCCGTTCCTGCCCCGCTGGCAAAGACCCTCACTTGCTCCAGTAGCTTGAGCTAAGATACCACTTGCTGACACCACACGTCAGGGGCACCCACGCCCCCAGCCTGATTGCTGTTGCTGGTACCAATTTCACTCCACCTGGTCTCCTCACGTAGCTGGTACTCCGGGCTCAAATTCTGTCGGACCCTCCCTAGATCCAGAGGGCTATGGCCCCTCCAAATACCGATGTTAGGACCCTCACTTGTTCCAGCACCTGACACCACAGGTCACGGGGCACCCACGCCCCGTCTGACTCCAGTTGCCGGCCCAGCATCCACTCACACAAGTCGCCCCGAGAAATCCTTGCGCTTAGTTGCCGCAGACCTCACGCACACATGTGACAGAGTAAGATCGGACAGAGGGATAATTATGAAAGGATTTAATGAGATAGACTGTGCTGATCAGGTGCAGGGCTCAGTCGGACAAGCAAACTCACTGGCCCCATCTTAAATGTGGCCAGCCCCTGTTATACTCCTCCTTCGTTCCTCTCTGGTCCCCTCCCTTGCACATTCCTTCACCAGTTTGCACAGTTCCACTGACAACCCTCTGACATCCTGGACCCTCAGTTTGCATCCTTGCCAGCTGCAAAGTACTGGCTTTCCTGCAGCTTTCTGATAGCCCGCTAATGAGCGTGATTGACAAGGTTTGCTTCTTTC